GTTTTGGGGTAGGTTTAGGAGGGTTAGGTTTAGGTTTAAGGGTTAATTTTAGGTTTAGAGTTTACAGCGTGCTTCTGTCTCCGCGCTGTTGTCACCCTGTTGATGACGTCAGCTACGCGGTTTAGTCGGACGCGGTTTAGTTGAGCGCGGTTTTGTGGTGGAACCGACGAACAGATGGCCGATGCACCAGAGCCTGGAAGAACAATGGACGACAGCTCGCGTGCCGGAGAGATGGCTCTGCACGCCACTTCCGACATGCATGAGATATGTTCGCCATCACGGTTTTAGACTTACAGACGTTATCTACTCTGGCTGCATTTCTATTCTGTTTTTAAAAGCAATGCAATTCTATGAAGATTCTATGTGAAAATAGGAACCTTTTCCCCAAGATTCACTGTAATCAAGAAACATGATAGGTACTTTAAAAAAATGATATTAGTAAGTTAAATCCCGTCGCTACTGATGCGATGAATCTCCTTATGGGAACTTTCTTTCAGTAGCTACCTCTTCAGTTTAGGAATTTGGATTAGGATTTAGTTTATCCCAATGAAATGATTAAAAACAAAATTACCATCGATGCTTAATTTTTGTGTTTAAAGTATTAAGTTAAATCCAAATGTGCTTATTTCAATTTATGATTTTCATTTCATTTCCATTCAGGTTCCTTTTGCTGGAATGTTAGCGCTTAGAGTAACTGCATTTTGTTAGCGTTTTCATTGGCTTGTATTTGAGTGCCTGTTGCTGCATTTCCTCCTATGGCTACTGTGAGATAAAATCCATCTCAAGCTGAAGATCCAATTTTCTAAAGGCAAAATAAAACTATCCCAGCCAAAGGAAAGGAAACATAATTTCAAATTATGAAATCAAATCAAACAAAAAATACATTTCCAATAACCATTCCCAGTTCAAGGGTAGAACTGAGACAATGATTGGTTTGGGATTTTTCATGCCTTCAACTCGCTGATGATTCCCAAATGTTGCTGAACTACAGTTCCCAGTGGTCCTAGCCAGCATGGCTAGTGGTGAGATTGCTTCACAGCTGCAGTTCACCATCTGAAACCTAGCAGATTCCCTCATCTCTAGGAGTCCTGACATATTATGTAAACATACCCATCTCTGGCACTGCAAATTATGTCGTGATCAATCTAACAATACCTTTATTTTCATAGTGCTGGGAGCCAGGGCGGTGATCTCCTTTTGCATACGATCTGCGATGCCAGGATACATGGTGGTCCCACCAGATAGGACATTGTTGGCGTAAAGGTCCTTTCTGATGTCTATATCACACTTCATGATGCTGTTGTAGGTAGTTTCATGAATGCCAGCCGATTCCATACCTGATGAGGATTTCCAAAGGAATGCTTGTTAAATATTCTTAAATAACAAACATATTAAACCTTTTGATTTACAGTACCACCTCAAAATGATTTACAATTAAATGTCGAAAGTATTTATAACCTTTTACAAATAGAGCAAATGGAAACTGAAATAAAATTGCATGAAAACTACAGGTAGGTTTATGCCAGAAATCTGGATGAACAAATTGACTTTTTTATAGCTGTCAAAGGGCAGTCCAGTCAAATGGCATGGCATGGTGACAGGTGAGGGATGGATGGATGGATGGATATGATAGAGATAGATAGATGATAGAGATAGATCAGGGCTGTCAAACCCGTGACCCACAGGCCGGATGTGTCACATGCTGGCCATGCCCACGCTTGGTTTAGCGAAGTGGAAAAAAGTCATCATACATCACATGATGACAC